CAATGGGAGCCATTACCATAATACAGCTAATAGTGTACAGCGCCTGGGACAATGGGAGCCATTACCGTAATACAGCTAATAGTGTACAGCGCCTGGCACAATGGAAGTCATTCCTATAATACACCTAATAGTGTACAGCACCTGGCACAATAGGAGCCACTACCATAATACACCTAGTAGTGCACAGCGCCTGGCAGAGTGGGGTCCTGGTCCCTGACTGGGGCTCCTGGGAGCTACTGTAATACACCTAATAAATGATGTACAGCCCCTAGCACAGTGGGGTCCCGGTCCATTGGCTACGGTAATAGAAATAAACCATAGCAATACGAAGAACAGCTACCAGTTAGCTAGGTGGGCGGTGTTGGTGGGCTGGATAGACAGATCCAGAGATGGGTACGCAGAGGGACAGATGGCTGTTCAACAGGCCGGCTTCCGATCTGCTATGGCCGCTCCCCTGGGTGCTACATCCTGCCCCACAGGTTTCCCTTCAGCCCCCGCCCCCCATGTGGAGCCCCTCCACCTACTCCTCTGAGCTTGGCCCAGCGGTGTCAGCCTAATGGGTCAGCACCCGGGGCCATCTGCCCCCCTACGGGGGTGCCCTTTTTGCCAGGGTATCACATAGGCGCCCCCCCCCCCATCTCCTTTGGGCGGGCGGGGAAGTGGGCCAGGGATTCCCGAGCCGGGGAATCCAGCCCAGGTTTTCCCCGCGCCTATGCAGCCAGCAACCTCACGCCTTGGCTGTTGGATTTTCCAAGGTGCCAACTCTCAGATGCTCATTCGCTTCCCCCGGGCCCCCATCGGCGGCTGGCGGCTCCCTCGGCGGGGAGGGGGGGGGACTTGAGTCTCCGGACCGTAGACCAGCGAGGGGGCGGCTGCCCCGCTCCGCCCGGGGGCCCCCTCCGATCGCCCTGCGGTTCTGCGGACCCCCCCCCCCGCGGCGCCCGCCCCCGCCGCCTTCTCCAAGCAGCTGGGGACGCGGAATTGGCCCCGCTAAAGCGAGCCCCGCGGGCTGGGGCGGGAGGTGTCCCGGCTTCGGAGCCTGGCCGCCGGCATGGCCGGTTCCTGACGGGTGGCACCTGCCGGAGGAAGAGGACGCATGGGGGAGGCCGTGCGCCACGGGGCCCGGAGCTGTGCCAGAGCCAGGAGCCCCCCGCTCCGAGGCTGCCTGGGCGCCGCTCAGCGGGGGCTGCCCTGAGCCCTGCGCCCTGCGCCCTGCGCTGCGCGGCGGGCCGGGCCTCCAGTGGCGGCGGCCGGAGGGGGATGCCCGGACTTGCGCGCCTTTCCTGCGCTCGCCGCCTCCCAGCTGCCCGGGCTGCGCGCAGCGGCCGGGCCAGGGACTCGACGCCCCGCTAGGGGCTCTCGCCGCAGCCGGCCCGGTGGGCGCGAAGGGGAGGCGCGCCGGGCGCAGATGCGGGGCGCTGCGGCCGGCGCGGTCCGCTCCCCCGGGCACTCATGAGCAGAGGGGCCAGTCTGCAGCGGAGAACCACCTACCTGATCTCCCTGACCCTGGTCAAGCTCGAGTCCGTGCAGCCGCCGGAGGAGCAGGCCAAGGCGGGGGCGGAAGATGGAGCCCCCCAGCCCGGCTCCAGCCCGGCCACCCCCGGCCTCTCCGGGGTGACGGCGCGCCGGGAGGGCGAGGGGTCCCGGGCGGACGAAAGCGCCAAGAGCAAGCGTCAGGAGCGGAGCTTCCACCGGCAGGATGCGCTTTGGATCAGCACCAGCAGCTCCGGCCCGGGGGACTATTTCCTGCAGCTGTCGCCCAGCAGCCCCAGGACCCCGGTGCCCTCGCCCTCCCCGTCCCCGGAGAGCGCCGGCCGGCTGCTCGCCCTCTGGGCCGGCCCGGGGCTGCCCTCGCCCAGCGCCAGCACCCCCGGCCCGGGGGCCCCGGCTGAAGACCCCAGAGCTCCGGATCCCAAAGCGGATGCTCCTCTGACCCTGACGCCGCCGGCGGTGCCCCCCAAGCCGGGCACCGCTCTGCACCCGGCAGCCCCAGCTGTGCCCCCCAAGCCGGACACCGCACTGCATCCAGCTGTGCCCCCCAAGCCGGACACTGCACTGCATCCAGCTGTGCCCCCCAAGCC